CCACGACCATCCGCCGGGCGCCATTTTCGCCCAGTGTTACATACCTAGGAAATGTTTTGATAATATGTGAGACAGCGCGGGGTGGAATCAGGCTCTCGTCAGTTTTTGGGCATGTAGAGTTATTGGTATCTTCTTAAAGCTGTTTCCCTTGGGTTTAATAAAAAAGAAAAAAAATATCCCATTTATCTTGAAACCAAAACCAAGATATCTGCGAATGAGGGTGGTGGGGGTTCCCCTTTTTCAAAGGTAATATTAGTGAGAAAATGGCCGCCAAAGATTAGTTATCTCTTAGCTTAAGGGTCGGTGGTAACAGAAATTTTACATTGTTGTGCTTTTAATCAACGCTTTTCAGAAAAATCCACACAGAAATGAGTTCTTTAATGGGCATGAAAGGGGTTGGGCTTAAAAAAACAAAAATTCGAGAAAAATTCCCAACCCACCAGAAAAATGCTAGTTTCGTCCCTTTGATTTTTTTGACGAGAGCCTGATTCCCCCCCGCTCCCTCCCATTTTATGGGCTTTAATTCCTCTTAGGAACTGAGCAGGGGTGGAAATTTCAGGAAACAAGATGAACGATCCCTTTTTGTCCACTGTTCTGGCACACATGTACCCCTGTCTTAGGGCAAGGACGATGGTAAATGGCGACCTTGCTGGGGGTTTTTTTTTTTGGTGGTTTGGGGGGGGGGGGGGGGAGAGGCGGAATAAAGAGTGAAGAAGAGGAGAAAGACATACAGAGACACGAAGAAAAATAGAGATAGACAGAGAGAGAGACAAGAAGAGAATGTGTGTGGGGTTATTTTTTGTTGGGTTTTTTGTGTTGTTTTTTTTTGGGGGGGGGTTCTCTTTTTCTGTTGGGTGCAAATCGAGTAGATCTAGGTAAAATTAGTGCCGAAGATTGGTGATGATACTAGAGAATAATACCCAAATGAAAGGAGGAGAGATCAGGACGACAGGTGTTTGGTAAGACAAAAGGAACAAACCACACCAGAGCACCTGCCAGCCACCAACTGCAGCCTCGTGAGTCGTAAGTGATCTAATTTGTGCCGATAGAAGCGGAAACAAACACTTATTACCAGCTATACCAGGTGTAGACCTCCATTGACACAGTATGATCAATTTTTGTATAACAGCATGGGCCGGGAACACAAGACAACAGGATAAAGAAAAATTAAATCGACTAATACGGAAAGCATGTACAATTTCAACATCTTCATTCCCCTACTTGGATGAATTGTACATAACAGCTTGCACTAAGAAAATTAATTCCATCTTTTTAGACAACAAACATCCCTTGTTCCCTCAAATAAAAACATCAGTCAGAAGTAAAAGACCCATGCTTCTGATCTGTAACAAAGAAAGATACAGAAGGTCATTTTTACCTTCATCTATCAAAATGCTTCCATCTCAACCATCTTGTTTAATGTACTTACGACCTTAGAGCATGCATCAAAATAACATTGAGTATGTATCTAGCTTACGATTATTATTGTTTATATTGCTGCTCATTTATATTATGCATGTGATTGTAAGCCTACTTGTGTGTGCATGTGTGTGCACGTGTGTACGTGTGTGTGTTTGTGTGTGTGTGTGTGTGTGTGTGTGTGTGTGTGTGTGTGTGT